CAACGGCATTCGAAGGAGCGAGCCTTGTACTTTTAGATTCAATGTATTAGTTTTTTGAAAAAGAATAGATGGCATTACTACATAACCTCAAATATGACGAAAAACAGTTTTTTGCACTTTTAGGTTAGGATATCTCAAAAACCTGACGTGATAGAGCAATTCTGCTGCCAGATTCCGATTCAGCGCACCTAAATCCTTCGGAAATATATATATTCAAGTTTCTGCTTCCAAAAAAAAGTTAAATTTTGTTGGTCTGTGTTATTTCTGTAAATAGTCCTCATCGCAGAACTGTATAGAAAATTCCGAGGAAAATTCTTTTGCCAAGTTTAAGACATTTCCACCTCTATATATAGAAATCAGCGACCGTCCTCTGTTTATATGTGTTTAAAATTTTATATTCAAAGCTGCCTACCGAAAAATCTTGAACCGTTGAACACTTAAATATAGATTTGTTTACTCAGTTAATACTTCAAACAATGTAAGTACCTACTTTGTTCTTGCGCATTTTTCAATGAATAATGATAGTAAGTGAATTTTCGAGAAACGTTTTAATAGACTCTGCCAAGAACTGATTATAGAATTCAATCATACATTTCAATTTATAAACATACATCTAGCTAAAAATATCTATCTAATAAAAATGTCGATGCTATTTTATGATGAATTCACGTTTTATTTCTGTAGCGTTTGAAAAATCTTTTCCCTTAAAATATCCCGTTTTGGCATTACCTTGATATATACATATTTAACGTTGCCACGAGCGCACGTGTAGGTAAATTCTGTTTACAAACAGAGTGATCTAAAATATACTTCATATTAATTTTATAAGACGCATTACAATTGAAGTGTTTTGAGGTAAACAGGACATTTACTGGAATTTATCAACAGGATCTCTTGTTATTGTTTGTAGTAGGATTTGTACTATAGCAATTTGCTGAAATGCACGAGATTTAGATATACAAAGATTACAAAGAAACTGGAAGCCTTCCAAAGATAAAAATTTTTTTCTTTTTTTTTATAAAAGGAAGTTTTGATTTTATAAAAAAAAAACTTTTAATAATAATGTGGGAAACAATTACTTTGCGGACTAATTGTCATTAGCCATAGCTATATTTAGATGTAGGTGATATGTAAAAGTAGGTAGGTATGTCATATATCAATTGTTAATGCTGCTCAACACCTACTGGCACAAAGCACGGTTTTATACCTGCTGACAGAGAGTGACCTCCTAATCTGTAGGAACTATGAAAGCATATTTAAAAACTATTATGCTCTCCATATCTAGTAAACAGCTGGATGAGGTATACTATTACTATGAAGTATATCACCCTGTCAGAAAATGTCGAAATTCCTATTTAGATGTGAGAATAAATAACGGATACAGATTTCCAAAGTTCCTGCTTAAAAAAACCTGAATTACTTTTAGAATTTTTACGACTTTCTGCCAATTTTCAAAAATAATTTTGCAATTTTGAAAAATATTAAATGCATTTTCTAGTTATGTCAAGGTCACGCTAAAACAATTATCTCTAGATGAGTTATATTGATTTCTTTTTTAATACGCTAACGCATTTTTTATTGTTATCTGCTTTGACCAATAGGATCGTCGTAATCTGTGGTATTTTTTATAACGAAGATTAACGGTTTATATCGAGATTTAACTTTTATTACAGTCCGTACTGTATGATTTTATATCTTGTCTCAAATTTAGGTCAGTAATACCCATACAACTGATATGGGCCCAAAATCGTAAATATGTGAATTACAGTTTGATAACAAATTCATGGTTTTCAGACACTTATAAGTTTAATTATTTTTTTTTTAATTTTTGTATCCTCACCCCGTTTAAGCAATTTGGTGTATTTTTACTCCATTTTAAAAGTATTGAGATAATTCAAAGGAATTCAAAGAATTTTTTTTTTTAAGTCTTATCAAATGACGTCAATGTTCTGCGACAGGTACCAGAAATCTAGGTATGCAAAAAGTATGCAAGACTGCCAATATTGCGGAAAACGACTACCTACTCTATGGACGGCATACACATACCCCAACTAACATTGAATATACCCCCAATACCCAACCTAGCAACCCAGATTTTGCATGAGTCGCAAAATAGCAAAAAATCACCAAAAATGGGAAAAAATTACAAGAATCACGTTTTTTCAGACCTTGATCAAGTGTGTTTCTTATGTAGTCTGAATTCGAGTATAAAATCTATTAGCTGCATCCCCTAACAGATTTTGAAAAACGCAAAAAATAGCGGAAAATGGCAAAAAATCTGTTTAATGGTAGTGAGAAAATTTAGAAAGAGGTTTTCTGGATTGGATCAAGTGTTCTTCTTATAAATTTTGTCGAGTCGAATTTGAATCTAAAGTCCGTTCAGCTTCATTACCCAAAAATTTTACAAAACTTGCAAAATATCGCAAAAAAAGGAAATCGTGAATCCCAAACCTTGAAAAAAAAAACCTTGAATAAATGTCATGGATATGAATTACTTCCAAATAAATTCGACTGACTCGGACCAGGCTTTCTTTGATGTTCTTACACATTTCTTCTCTTCATAAAATATTCTCAAAATACATAAGAAACACTTGATCATCCTCTTAAAAAGAGGACTGAAGCAAATTCTGTGTAAACGAAAGACAGTTCAAGTTCATCACAAAAAAAGTTCATAGTTGGCGATCATTTAACCTTGAACATAGATAGGAAAAGCCAATTTTTTAGTGTGACACATACTTGTATACTTGGATGTATTATTTGTCACCTGTAATTTAAATCCGATCAATACTATTTTTTTTATTCCTTTAATTTATTACATTAAATTGACATTGACTCATTACTATTATTAATCACATTAAATGGTATTAAAATACGCCAGTTAATTTCTTTCCACGATGCTCAGAATAAAGTTGAAAAGTTATAGTGTATACCTATATCGCAATTAACTTAAGAGGCTTTCAAGACTTTTAACAATTTATTATTTGAAGAAAAATTTCTTTACAAGTACCTAAGGTATTGGTTTAAGTTGATATTGAAAAAAGAAGAACACTTTATCATGGCAACTTTTTGCTCTCTATCGAATGGCATAATCAATTTTTATATGTAACGTTTCGTCTCTCCAGGACCATCATCAACTTCATTTTTTAAATACGACCATGAAAATTTTATTACATTTTTTGCAAGCCTTCATGACCCCCAATACTGTACTGCCTCATCCCGAACCAGATTCAGACGTTTTGTTTCAAAAAATGCATCTGCAATGTATTCGTTCCAAATTTATCTAAATTTTTTATGTATATTTCTATGTTCATTGAATTATCGTACACTCTAAGTGTCGTTAGACCCTGCTAAATCCACCTATAGAAGGATCATATTCGATGCAAAGTAATAAATCATTGCTTGTCAAGGGATCCAGTGCAATACGGTTTTAAGGGGTTTACAAATTGAATAATTTCTTTATGCATTATGAAGGGGTGAAGGGATGAGTTCACGTCTGGCGCCCTTATTCCTACAAAAATTATTTTATTCTCATAAACTATTTATTTTAAATGTAATTTATTATAAATCCAACGTGTTTTTTAAATTCCACATATGTACTACATTTTACCTCTGTACGCATCAAAATTAAAACAATATTATAATTTTAATTCTATTATGACATCAGTTCTTAAAAATGCATATGAACAACCAAAACTCTAAATGAATATTATATACATACTTCAAAAAATGACAGTAAATGTTCAAAAAGTTTCCGTTTTGGCAAATGTTGAAAATTAAGATAAGCATAATATGATCGGAATTTATTATACCTGTAACCGCATCTGCGAAAGAGCATGTCAGATGTATTTGTATGAATATCCTGAAAAAAATTAGATCGAAATTTGTTTGAATTTTGAGCACTCGCGAAACCTAGAAATAACTATGAGCACAAGGATTAAAACTCTAATAATGTTTTATTGTAACGTGTCATGGTAATAGTTTAAATAACTAGGTGGATTTCACAGGGTCTAACGACACTTAAGAGTGTAGGTACGTTAATTCAATAAACATAGAAATCTAAAAAAAATAGATAAATTAGGAACGAATACATTGAAGATGAATTTTTCGAGACAAAACGTCTGAATCTAGTTCGGGCTGAGGCAGTACAGTATTTCCATATTTAAAAAATGAAGTTGATGATGGTCCTGGAGAGACGGAACGTTACATATAAAAAATGATTATGCCATTCGATAAACGGCAAAAAGTTGCCATGAAAGAGTGCTCTTCATTTTTCAATATCATCTCAAACAAGACTGAAATGGAACAAAAACGGATTTCCAAAATTTCGTTTTTATTTTCAAATATTTCGAAAACTAATCATGTTAGCCTTGATTTTTTAGAGGCATAATGTTGGTCCTCTGATTAGGCAACTTTGCCCCCATTTAAGCTGCTTCATATCTCTTACCGATTCCGGGACCTTTGTAGTGAGAAGCGAATTTGTAACAGCCTGTATATTTCGAAATATATTCGAAATTTATACTAATTACTTATTCACACAGGTAATTCGTTCACACTAATTAAATAGACAATAGAATGTTTGTTACTAAGAGTTATTTTTGGATACGGGTATGATAACGTATCTATTTCTAAAACTATGTCACTTCTATTTAATACAATTTCCTTTGTCTTCGTTACTAGGCCCTACAGTATTTTCTTAAATTAATTTTTTAAAATTTATTAACAGTAAATAATTTGAAGTATTCCCTGAAGCATTCGTAAAAAGTTTAAACACAACTTCCACAGAGAAAATAATCTCGCACAACTTATGCCTTCTTTTACTACGTAAGAATTATTTATTCCAATCACAGAATGTTGTGTAACGGACCGCCGATTTATTTTGGCGTAAAAATCGGCCAAAGGCTGCAACTTGTGTAATGTTTATACAAATCGCACGCTACCCGCCTACTTGTTATGCGACAAACTAGACCTATTGAAATTGAAAGCGCACTGTTTGGACTTACCTTATTTTTCCTGTGCGGAACAATAAGCGGTAAGTGTCACATCGAAAAGGATAGTGTTTGTGTCACAGTATTAATCGCACGTAATTTTTTCTAGTCAAAGTTATCGAAACAGGTGTCTAGCACGACGGCACAGTAACTCGCGCGAACTTCGCTCGCAATGATGTTGAAATGAAAAGTTGATTCACGCCGAATGTAAATAGACGAATAGAAATTGCTATCGGCGCAGTGGTTTGGTGCTCCGTCACGTGAACTAGGAGAGCAGACTGTATGGTTGCTGGTTGCGGATACCGTCGAGCACAGAAATGAAAATTTCTTTGGAAAATTGTTTTACTACACTTTCACGCGGTTTTTACTTTAATCTGGAAAGTCGGGATGTTTAGTTTAATTCCCAGAACGGGCTTTACGAATCAGAAGGAGTTTTGACGAGAGCTCATCAGAATTTCAAGCGGCGCTAAGGGCGCAGCCAGTTTGAGGTATAAATGTCAATAGTTTCGATGGTAGTCATGTTCATTGAAAGTATGGTGATAGATTTTTTTCTATAATAGTTGGTTTCGTCCAGTTTTCTGTTTACTGGAATTTGAACATGTTTTGTGCTATGAAAGGACACACAGGTTGTGGGAGCTTTCCACTGTAAAACATTAGTTTTCATATGTCAGTACATTCATTGACAAATTGTCAGGGTTTTACTTTGTGCGGGTCTCTATGATGACTAACGTTTGTACCAAAATCCTCTTCCTGCCCACTTTATAAGTTTTGAACAATTTTTCAGTGCCTCAAATATCTACCCAAAAATGTCTTGGTATATATACTTTGAACTATAAAACCTTATAAAAGTGGCTAAAAATTCTCATATTTATAATTATAATGGATATGATAAAAAAAATGTGTTCTTTGCTTTTTTCGTTTTACACACAAAACAGTACTACCCAACTCTGTACCTGTGCTAAAATTATTTCGTAGCACTTATCTGTTTGAGCAAAAGCTCTTTATCAAATTCCATAAATGCGAGGAAGGCCTCATTTTCGAGATACAGTGTGATATTTAAAAAAATATCGCAGGAGGTATTTAAAAACATATCACATTTTTTAAATACCTCTGAAAACGCTTGACGTAGATTGATAAAACTGAATTATGATTTATCTAATTAGTATTAGAGGTAAAATATTCGCTGAGTTAGCTTATAAATATGTCAATCAGTGGTAGAGATACGGGAAATCGGTACCACTCGGAACCATTCAATTCAAAATGAGTTCGGAAAGTGAAGACGGGCATTTACCAGGGGAAGTAATCCCCAAAAAATCGTCGAGACAGTACGAGATTGTCTACAACTAATTCAAAGGGTGACATAGTTCTAAGAAAATTCAAAAAGTGTCCGAAGTGGTATTACTGGCATATTTCGAACATAAAATTAACAAAATTAAACCTTCGACGTTATGGTCAGCATATTCCATGTTAAAAAAGTACACTGAATACCAAGAAAAATATAAATATCAGAAAATTTCCAAAACTAATACCATATTTGAAAATCAAATCGGTTGGATACTGTCCGAAAAAGCCCAGAATTCTAACGAAAGAGGAAATTGAGAGATTTTTACAAGGAGCACCTGAAAATAGATTTCTGCTGGAAAAGATAATTCAAATTAATGGCGTTTGTGGAGCTTTGAGAAGAAATGAGCTATTAAAGATAATGATCGATGATATCGATGATTAGAAGACTCTTTGTCTTCTAATCATCGATTCAATTATTATTAGTATTATAAGAATTCCCAATTCCAAAACTCATACTCCGAAATGTTTTCTGATTTCAAGGCCTACCGCAAATATTGTTGAAGATTTTTTGCGAAGTATGCCAGTGGAAGAAAGTGTTAACCAAGTGGTTGGCGTCAACAAAATAAGGAATGTGCTAAAAGAAATAGCAACTTATCTCAATTTTCCTAATCCAGAAATTTATATAGGGCACCGTTTTAGACGTTTTTCCGCCACTCTGAAGCAGGAGCCGATATTACCACCATTAAACGACATGGGGTGGTGTAGACATATATTCTACAAAATAAAATTTCAATCGCAAATAAACTGTTACCATTTTCAACAGAGCCTAACAGAACTTGCCAATAATACAACATGCGCAGTAAACTTAAACAAATAGGTACAGCAGCCCCATTGAACACCCAAAACTAAAAGCTACGATAACTGACAGCACTGAATCTGGTATAAATTTAACTCATTGCAATATCGGCACTTTCAATTTACATGTAGTGCCAAATAAATTGTAATCGTCCTGTTTATAATAGTTACTGTTTTGTATTGAAATGTTATACTACTTGAAATGTATATTGTTTAATTAATAAAATCATAAATAAGTTTCCAAAAAATCACAAATTATTTTGACATTTGTTTTATTTTCTAGAACGAAAAAGACTTTAGCGTTCTAGAACATAAAAGTATTTTGCAGCTAGGTGAGAAAAAAGACTCGCATTGTCAAACTGAAAATTTATCGAAAATGTCGACTTTTGACGAGTTAACGAATAAAAAAAAAATTGCCGCGGATGAAACGTGCAATAACAAAATTGAGACTACCTAACTATACAGTGACAGCGCTGATTAAAAATTTTTACTATTTAGTATTTAATTCTGCATCTCAAGCAAAATCTGATTTTGATTTTTGATTTTTTCTTTCGTACATTTGTACACGTATTTCTTCTCATCTAAAAGTCTTCCGTTTCGGTTTTCATCTAATGCAGATAAAATGGTAGTAATCCAACGATATATTTTATTAATTCTTATTATTTATTTATCACAACGGTACATAATTGCAGTAATCACCAGTTGAAAGATACGATAGAAGATTGATTACGGCTAATGTAAACAAAATGTAATAGAAACATGAAATGATCTTTCTGCTGATAACTTTCGAACGAATGAACCGATTGAGATGAACCAAGAATTGATTGAAAACTAAAAGTTTTTGTAACTTTAAGACTGAGCGTGCAGCTCTCCGTAAAGAACTCGGAGATTTGATAATTGCTATGCTTTTTAAGTTCACAAGTATCAAAAGCCTTGCAGTTCTATCGACGGATCAGGATCCCATTTCAGTTTTTTTGGTGTCAGTTCAGTTCTATCAATGTTTTTAAATAATTAATGTAGATACTCTTTTTCATGCAGCAAAACTGTTAACCCTAGTAACCAAAGTGTTCATTACATTGTAATTTCTGGTATATTTGATAGTAACACTAAAATACTTTGTCACATTAGCTTGTAACAAGTTGTTATCGCTATCATTAATAATTACGATGAATTAGCTGTTTACCTTGTGGTTCATGTGTTTTTACAACCTTTATCTTAGCATACACCACATTATCTCTAAATCAATATTGTGGAATTAGATTTTTTACAAGGCTTCCTTACAAAGTCCAAATCATTTTAGCAGGATTAGATTTGTGGTTAATTCGTCCAACGCAGTTGCTTCATTGGAACGAATAAAATTGGGGGGTTGAAATAAAGCTCGGTGTTATTTATTATACTTATATATAATGGCGATAGCTTAACATAGTAAACTAACACTTACATTAATTATAAAAGTAAACTGTACATACATTACTTATAAAAACTTAAATAATTGACTAAGTCGAGAAAATAGGGAATTCATATATATGTATATGTACAAAATGTAATTTGGTATACCTATTTATATAATAAAATCACAGACACTAACTTTAAATCTGGCCTTTGTATATACAACGTACTAGAAATGAACGGTATCCTCTTTTACATGAAAAACATTCAATTAAATCGATTATTTAACATTTACATTTTGCTCGGCAAAAAAATATAATAACGGTTCATGTAAAAAACAAGCTGGTTCATTCGACATCTATAGGTTAAAAAACATAACATAGTGTCTCAACATTCACAAGTTAATAATACACTTTTATTAAGACGATCCGGACGGTAGGGAGATGGGCGGGTCAAAATTGCGATAATCGCGAATAGTATATCAAGAATTTGAAGTATCAGTATGTCAAATATCAGACGATTTGTTTGCACCACTCCAAAAATCTACAGGATATCTCAATTTGCTGGTGTTGAGGCTAATACCAGTTGAACAAACTCATCTTGTCAGTGAGATGCGCTGAGCAAAAGAGAGTTCGTAGTAGGAGTGACAAAGACAATACAGGACAGGACAGGACAGGACAGGATTTTAATAGTAGGGCAGGTACCTTCTGTGCAAAAATTTTACTTAGATCTGGTACTTATTTAATGAAGGTTTTTTATTATTTACTTAAATATATGACCAAATTATTTCTGCGCGTTTTAAAGTCGTGGATAAAATGATTGGTCAAGTAAGAAACAAAAAAAGTTCCAGTGTACTTTATTAACTGAACTCTAAAGACGTACATATTTGGATATTGTAACTTCCTTAATATTGCGAATCCTTGCTATGATTTTTTCAGTGTCGATTTTTGAAGAATTGTATTAGCCATTTTTTTAATTCGAAGTCTATTCTATGGATAAAATTTAAAAAAGTAAATTAAAAAAAGCAGTAGATCAAGATAAAGGGTGTAGAATAATAATAATAACGAATAAAAAAATTTAACTATTTTTCATAAATTGGCATCTACAAAAGAATTGTAGTAGGCTTAGTATTTGCGATTTTGAAGAGGTTATGGTTTTCAAATATGAAAATTCTTGTTTTATTAAAATAAATAAAAAATATTCAACTTCAATTGTATTTTAAATTAATTTAATACTTAATTGATTAATAAGATTAATCCCCATGAACAAAATTAAGCGAAACGAATTTCAAAAGGCTTTTAAAAGAATTATCCCATTCCGACTAACGAAAAATGAAATGAAAATGAAATGAAAAATGAATAGAAATTCAGTTGTTTTTTACTTTACTTACCTACCTATTATGTTAAAGAAAGACTCATCTATGATGAAATATGTTATTCATATATTGGAAATGATCATAAATTCAGTAACAAGTAGCATGTGGCCTAGCATCAGTTTAGTTGTTAGGGTAATTTATAGGTATAAAGTAGGGTTGTAAATAACTATTGTTATAAAACAAATAAATCCTATACATAAAAATTGCTCTATTGATTTGCTTCATCCCGGCACAATAAAAAAAAATTAAAAAGCGCGGTTTTTTGAAGATAGTAGGTATTATTTTTTTTTATTTGTGATACACCTAGCACTGGTTTGTAACATTAACTGCTTACAAACATTTTGAACTCATTTGTATAGTGCGTGATTAATTTTGCATGTATTTAATGCTGCATGTAATTCTTATATTTTGTTTTTCTGAAAGAGTGGCTTCTCACAAAAAAATTAATAAAATTTCATCAGATTTGGGCTAAGAACTAATTTCATAGTGAAGATAATACAAAATTTAAAGCTGATCATGATTATCTTTAAATTTTTAAAAATGGCGCCCAACCACAGTGATTTTATTTTCAACTTGAGAATTTTAGAACGCATAGAGTGTAACATACTTAGATAATATTTGCTAGTTTTGCATAGAATTTAGGATTTAAACACGCGCAAAACTTTTTTAACTTTTTTATTTATGAAAAATGTTTCGGTGTTATTGTTAAAAATAAATTAATTTTAAATAAAGTGGATGCTGAAAACTACGAGCAACAAATATGGCCATACTCTTTTAATCCGTTACATCAGTTGATATCATTATTATTGATAACAATACTGATGATACAGCCTTATTTTTAACTACAAAATAATTAAACAGCTTAATATCAAATATTATTAAAAAAATCTAACAAAGATGTTGAGTCTCAACCTTAATAACTAAAACAGTTAACATTTTAAACAAAGCTGCTGTAAGAATTAAAATCCGCCAAATCAGCTTTAATTATATGAATTTATTTTAAACATTGGAAAATTTGAAAATAGTCTCAGTGATTTGAGTGGAAAACGTAGTCACTATGATAAATGTTTCTTCTCAGTAACGATTATTATTATCGACTCCTAGTTAATGATTTTTGTGTTTATTTTTTCGTCTTATGATCAATTTTCTTGTCAATGAAGGCGATATAAATCTCTTGGGCTTCGTAAATTTAATGATTTCTTTTTTAAGTGTAGTTACCAATATTAAGTGTTCAAATTTGAAAAGACTTGCTTTACTAGACAAATAAAATATTACTTCAAAAATGGTTGCTTTAACTTCATGAATCTTGATTTTTCGGAAAAGTGTCACAAAAATCCCTCCAATTATTTATATGAGCAGTGATGAGGAGGAACTAAATTTTTCATGATTGAATTTTTTTTTCTGATAAATGTAAATATAATCAATTTTCTAATACAAAAAATTTAAAGTGCATTCCTCGTCCAAAAAATCAAAAAATAATTGAAACAATAAAAAATTGGTCAAATGAACAAAATTTTACAGCAGAATAGTTTTTCATTAGTTATCTTGATATTTTGATATCAGGATAAAAACATATGTATGTCAGTGGTGGCCTGTGAAAATTAAAGGGGTCATATTTTTATAATGAAGACTGGGGACCTATATCTTTTTAAGAAATGATTTCTATACTTACTAACAGAATTTTGATGACGACAAAATTTTAAATGAAATTTGCGAAATAAAAAATTAAAATTTTACCGATCTTCAAATTTTGAAAACAATTACATATATGGATTTATTTTCTTCATAATTTGTTTTTTAAATTTTTTTTGTAGTTTCACCTAATTACATTTTAATTAGATACTAACATTTTAGTTTTCAAAATTTATAAAGCTGTAACTTTATAAAATATGAAAAATCCTAACGAATCCTATCAATCGATTACGAAATAAATATTTTGCAAATATATGTGCAATCCTTTTCGAGATCTAATTTCATATTTTATTTTACAAATTTATTTGGGAACTTTTTCGTCGTGAAAATTCACCACCTAGAAATAGTTCCCTAAAAATGGTACAGGTCCCACGATTTATCGTCAAAATATTATATTTAATGTTCACCAGCCGCCACTGGTCAAAATATTTTTCTTACACAGAATAATTCGTTTGACTCAAAAAATGTCAAAGGAAAATAATAGAAAATATTCCAATTTTTAAATCAGGTGCAGCGAGTACAGGAGCATTTACTAAACCGAACCCTTATTACTTAACAAAATTAAGTAAATCAACGTACGGCAACTTCGCGCAACCCTTGGTCGATCGCGCCCCCTACCGACCGGATCGGATACCAATACCTAATACTTAGCTTACACTTATTCGATTTATACATTCAACAAATGTACAGGTTCTATTGTCGCTCAAATAGTCTCAACATTGGTCGATATAGATGCGCCCTCTCCGAAAAAAGACCAGAATTACGCGTTACGATTGATATGTCCTATGGTTTCTTGAGGTTGTTGTTGACCGTCGGCGGGTTGCCGTCCGGCGGCAGCTGGAAGGGCATGTTGAGTCGCCCGTGCGCCATCAGCTCCGTGTAGAACTTGAGCTGTTCGGGGGTAGGGATCGGCAGTATCGGCGGCACCGAGCTCAGCGCGTTGCTGGAGTACAGGCTCTGCATCGCGGCCGAGTAATACATCGCGGGGTCCAGCAGAGGGAGGTAAGGGGGTATCGACTTGTTCCCGTCGTACAATTGCGATAGGTACGGGCTGAACGCCGGCAGGCCGGGGTTGGGGAAGTGCTTCATTTGGTGCTGGTTCTGCGACATGTGCTTCAGGTGGTTGTTCATCATGTCGGCCTTTTTACTCCCGTAGGGATTGGGTATGTTTAGTCCCGCCTTCATGTCATTGTAGAGCGGCGGCAGCGACTTGCCGTACTTTCCGTTCTCGTCGCCCTTCGGCATCTTGCTGGGGTTGTAGTAGTCGGAGGAGAGTCTTTTTTGGTGGTGCTGGTACGGATTGTTGCTCGCGTGGGGGTTGTGCAGCTGCGCGGCGGGATAGTTGTAAGGTTTATGTAAGCTGGGAGCGCTGTTCTTGCCGTTCGGACCTACTAACGTTATCTCTAGATTTGGACCCAGTCTTCTGCCGTCCATTATCGGCGAGGTAGTTTTGTAGAGGTTCTTCGTGACGGCGTCTCGGTTGTAGGGAGTGTGCGAGCTCGACGATGGTGCCTGAGGGATTCGCATGATCTCCACCACCGGTTTCTGCGGACTGTTCACGGATAAGTCCACCGGATCGCCTCCGTTCTGCCTCGGGATGCTGCTGATGAACTTGGGAGCGTGCACCACGTTCTTTATGGTTGGTGAGAGGATGTCTTTTGGGTTGCCGTAGACTGTTTTCTCTGAATAGCAATAAATAGATTTCGATTGCACTACTTTGGGAGGCGTGGAGCCGTTGACGAATGTAAACGAATTCGTGGAAGGTGTCGACTTGGGTGGTTTGCTTGGAGTCGATGGAGGCGCCTTCACTTGGCTGATGTTCAGGGCCTGTGCAACGGGCACGTGAACGCGTTTTGGGGGAACACTGGTTATGGAAGGCGGTGGCATCATCTCAGGTTTCAGCGGTTTGGAAATTATTTGCGCCGGTGGGGTTACTGTTTGTATGACCGATGGTCGGCTGTCTTTAATGGGATTACTAATCGTGGGTCTTACGGGCGTCACTTCTAATCCTCCTTCTTTTAGTATGTCTAGTTTTCTCTTCTTCACTTCAATAAACGTGTTATTGGCGCCTTTGTAAGCTTCAGATTCGGCGCCTACAACTTCCGGTGGTTTCGCTTTAGCCGGTACTTCTACGACTTCGGGGCTATTTTTCGAGGCGGTGTCCGCCATTTTGAGGATGGGTATGTTTTCTTTGCCCTCCACGGGAGACATTATTTTGTCGGGAGAGATTTTTTGTGCGGCGGGAGTGGCGGCCGACGTGACCGGTTCCGCGTCTTTCTCCGGAACCTTCGTGCTTTCGGACTTGACGGTGACCGGTTCCATTTTGATTTCGTTGCTCTCTGGTTTGATTGGTTCGAATTTGAGCGGCACAATTTCGGCTTTCGTAGCGGAATAATCTGTTTGCACGAGCGTGCTTTCGGCTTTCACCGCTTTCTCGCTTAAAACTGGGGTTATCTCAGCTTTCATCTCGATGGAAACGATTTCCGTCTTACAGGCGATATACTCGACTTTTTCAGAAACACTTTCCACTTTCTCCGTTGCGGTCTCTATTTTTATGGGTGTGTATTCAGTTTTTACAGTCATACTTTCAGTTTTGATTATCAGTTTCTCGACTTTAGGCTTCACTTCTGACGTGGCATCCTCGCACTCCATTTTGACGCTAGTCTCCTCATCCATACTGTTATTGTTATTGTTTTGAACACTGCCGGCTTTCTCACTACCTTGTTTCTCTTTCTGCCTCTCGGGCTTGACGCGAACGCTCCTGAGCGACGACGGTTTCCCCTCAGTCCGGGAGTCCTACGACAAAATAAAGGTTAGTTCCTGTTAATTTTGTTTTCCTACCGGATTTTATCGTATACCTTACTTTCCGATGTCTTTCTGGACGTAGAGGGCGTGGGGGTGGCATCACCGCTGCTAGATTCCGCGTCACTTAGGCTGCTGCTGCCGCGTTTGCTTTTCAGTCTTCTCCTTTCGGACACGGGTAGCGGTTTGTACTCTTCGCCTTTAATGTGACGTTCGTATGACAACAAAAACCTAGAACAAAAACGATCGCATCAGTTCACTTCTACGCAAATCTTAAATGATCGAAGATGATCCAAATTACCTCTCGTAATGGCGTCTTATGACAGTAGCAGCGCTTGTACTATTTTGATGTCCGCTCATATCGTCGAATATGGATTTCCACAAACGATTGGTGGTTACGGCGTCGTAACCTCCCAGCTTTTGTACTTTTGTGAAGAATTCGTGAAGGTTTACTAAAAAAGAGGCGGTGAGACCGACGAAACTGCAACATGACGGCGAATACTCACGTTCTTTGTAGCCTAAGGACGGAATTCGGCCTATCGGTGTGTGGTTAGACTTCATAAATGCGGTGAGCTTCCTAACGAATTCTTTGTTCTCGTTATTTTCATGGCACCTAGTGCTGCGACGTGGAGTAATGTTGCCGTCGCAACGGAGGCCATTCTTATTTTCTGCCTAAAAACGGACAACACCATGAAAATTAAAATTATATTAAAGCGTATCGAAGTGCACAAAAAACTCGAGAAATTTATTAAAAATAAATGTTCTAAAGGAATACAGAGTGTGTTATATTTGTACCTCAATTGAAAATGATTATTAAAAGTATAACCTTGAATACCATGCATATGAATATCAAATACTTTTTTTTGACAGTTGACCTCCCTAATTTCCATGCGGTTCACAAATACAGCCACTCTGGGCGACTGGCCATAAATTTCAGTTGTTGACAAATTGCCTTGCAGTGCAGTGCAGCAATGCGGGAATTATTTTTTGTTGATTATTTTTATTTAATAACTTTTCTAACCTAAACTAACAACCTTTCCTGGCAAGGATATGTTCATACCTTCCCGTTGGTTCATGCCGAGCATTAATATATTTTAATGAAAATGTTAATGTTTTTTGATATGTCATAACCAAAATCTACCATCAATATGATAAAATTGTTTGAGGACATTAACATATTGTTACCAAAAGAACATATAATAGAAATTTTCTACACGTGATATACAAATTACTATATTTTTTTACCTTTAGCAGAAAACTTGTTTAGGGACGCCTATTAAACTCATTGAATTTTATTACTAGGCGTTTTTATACATGTTGGACTGACTTCGGAAAGACTATGTAAAGTTTTCGTAGTTTTCGAGATATTTTGACATTTAGAGGAAGTGTTTCGAGTTCTTTGAAGTGTTTTCATGATTTTCAATACATGTACATTAGATACTGTTCAGTCTTGGAAATATTTCGATACATGCAGAGTTTTTCCAAGTATTCCAATGGAAGCATTTAGAAGTATTTTGTAGTTCTCGCAATATTTCGGGATATTCCTTTAGCCTGGCCCTTCACATCATGGCTTGGTAATCAAAATAAAAAGTTTATGCGTTCTCCCTAACTAAACAAACGTACCCTTGTATTGTAACTATTTGTAATGGACGATTCGGACTCATTGCTCTCGGACCCAGGCGAGACGCTCCGTTTTTTCCGCTTTCCCCTGGGTCTGCCCTTCAGTTTCGGGGCGAGGTGGTTGCAGAGGAGCTCGTGGCCCTCCAGCTCGGGGTAGTCGAAGGTGTCCTTGCAGAAGAGCACCCTGGTGTTGGGGTGGGTGACGTAGAAGCCGCCCAGTGCGTTCACTATTTTGTATTTCAGATATAGGTTCTCCACGCCCTCCAGCCGTTTCATCATGGACCTGTAGCGGCAGTATTTCGGAAAACTCAGGATTATCACATGGGGGCCCGAAGTCACTTCGTGGGAATCTGAAAAAAAAAAAAGAATAAATAAATAAATAAACGATTAGTAACCAATCCTAATTGTGTTCTAAATTTCTAATAAACTGTTTGTTTTTAGTTACACTGCAATTCATTTAATGTAATTAATTATACAGGCCGAAAACTTTTTAGGATATACTTGGTCCTATCAAAAAAAGTTTCAGATAAAACTTGTGGGACATCAAGAAACCATTATACTGGTGTTTTATTTGAAGCTGAAATCCCTGAAGTCATTTTGTTAAAAATTGATCTATAATGGGGCTGTCAGAGAGAGCCGCAATTCAATGGCGTGACAAGCGGGTCAATTGAGACATGCGCGAGCCTCAGAATGCTTTTCACGTTCGCGTCACGTTAGTATATTGTTGCCTTAGGGTGAGTTTTGAATACAATGTTATAAATTGTACTAATTTATTGCTTATTTTCTACGTAATTTATTTTATGACGCTTAACATGATGCGTACGCCTATGTCCTGCGGCTCAGTTCTCACAGCCCTATTTATAATTGTTTCAACAAATACACTTAACCATACTCATTAGATTCGTTCGTGTTAAAAAAAATAGAGGCGTGGCTTTGTTTTTAATAATAATTACACTGTATGTAATATAAAACGATTAACACTATCCTAGGTATATTCGTTGTGGTATCCTGTAGTTCCAATCAAAATGAACCATGATGTACTGCATATAAATTAATTTTAAAATTGGTTATCGTACATTTACTCGTTAGAAATTTATGTACTTGCCCAACTTTGATAAGTAATCGTCCGTAATCCCATTAAAATGGAAACATAAAGTAATCAATGTGGGTCGAATGAAACGTTACATTTTGAACCTTATTATAGAGATCGTAGAGTGTAAAATTTTAAAATACCATTAGCCCTTAACAGTAAATAATTCACAATCTCAAATATGATCAAATCGGTCACAAATTACATCACGAAGAATTTTATCATTTACAGTTTAGGTACTCTTAACAGCTTAATGTTGATAACAAAAGAATTACTAAAAATAGCACTTGAGACTTGACCCGGTGTCAATACGACAACAACGTAAACTTTACGGAGCTCTTCTTACTGATTACTGATAGTGCCGCGAATTTACATACAATGTGTTAAGTATAAATAGTTGTTCACGGAGTTGCACCGCACAAAACAGTGTGTGTCACTGGCAAAGTTTGTCATAGATCAAGTTATAGGTACGTATTGTTTTGTTTTTTATTTATTTGGATCAATGTTTGGAAACCTATTCAACTAGTGGGTAAATAGCAGCGACTGTATAGAGTTGTTGTCACAAGTATATCAAATTTCAAGGGAATCACGATTAAAAAATGCGTTTGTTTTTATGTTTGTATTTTTCATTGTTAGAAATTAAAAAAAAGGACACCGGTGATTTGAATTTTGGACTTTTTCGGATGGTATCCAACTGATTTGCTTTTCAAATATGGTATTAGTTTTGGAAATTTTCTGATATTGACATTTTTTTGGCATTCATTGACTTTTTACCGTCGAAGGTTTAATTTTATTAATTTTATGTTCGAAATATGCCAGTAATACCCTTAAGAGACTTCGTTGTAAACAATCTCGTACTGTTTCGACGATTTCTTGTGGATTAATTGTGAAACAGCACTTTGTGCCGCTTCCAATACTTCCCCTGGTAAATACTCGTCTTCACTTTCCGAGCTCATTTTGAATTAAACACTCTTAGAATATGAATTACAATATTATAATTCTGACATTACTTTTTCAAACAACTAATTTTTATTGTTTATTAATAATAATGGCGTTACGAGAAGATTTCTAGCAATTCTATCTAGACAAGGCGAAATCGGCGGCTTCGTATGAAAAAATTAGTGGATTCGATTTTTTTGCATAATCATATCTTATTATGTTAGCATATTGGCAGTGTCAACAAGAGCCAATAGTTGCAGTTAGTCGCTCAAGTGTAAATCTATAATACACTGGATTTAACTACAACAAAACTCCCAAGCAAATGTCTCGCTTTATTCGTAAGGGTAGTTTCCTTCAACATCGCAACATATAGTTTAATTTTTTTAGAAGTTAAATGAGGTCGATATAGAATAAGGACAAAATAGAGGCCTCATGTTTTTTAACCTTTCAATTTGTGATGTAATTAAACAGATGGAAAGCACCATATTGTTTAAAGCCTGCCACACACATTAATGCAAGTCTGCCGACTTGGCTTGTACATGTTAAGTTGAATCTGCTTTAGTCAGATGAGACGCAAGAAAATTATTAGGAAACAACTGGGGAACCTATTGACAAATGCTGTATATTTTAAGCACTTTTTTCTAACCTTACGAGAATTATGACCAAAATGTATTAGAAAAAGATCTCCCAGCGAACAATATAACTTCTTTGACATTCAGTGCTCAAAAGCATTGTTTAATTTTTTAAACACAATTGATCGCGAATTACGGCCATGACTGTGTCATAAGCACTAACAAGCCCGATAACTGCAAAGTCACATCCTCGTGATTCAGTCCGTTTCCTTTTCCAAATAACGCCGCTATAAAATACCACAACAAACAAACGTAGCTATCAGTAAACAATATCATTCCAGGACGTGAACAGCCATGGATTACGCGGGGGTTCTGATTCTCCTAACAATTTTCGTCTTCGCCGATGGAGCTGCGGTAGTTGAAGCTAAATCACGAGATGAGCATGTCTCCGACGATGCAACTCCAGTAGTTGAAGTTAACTTACGAGGTGCGGAAATAGTTGAACTAGGTAGGAGAGTAGAGAATACAAGGAACTGCACCTGCATGAACTGGAGATCCTGTCATGGAGACATAAATTCCGAGTAAGTTAATTGGCACAATATGCTTCTTTTCATGTAGAGCTTTCATAAATGATTACAAGTCACGTGACCAGTAATCTTGCTTGCAAGAGTAATTTTATTTCCTTTGAGGTGGTTAATAAAACAGTTAAAGATTACGTTAAAACACAGCATTCTGTTTCGTCGGCTGGTGATTCGTGTAATGTTTCTACGACCTTTTATTGAACCATTATCGCGAGGGTAGACGCAACGGTTTGTCATTGTTCATTGTAAACGAATCTTTAATATTAATGACACTAAGATTTCAAGGTGACAGTGCTAATTGTGCAGTGGTTGCGTAAGTTTAACTATCACGTGGTTTGCAATCATTTATGAAGACTCTATACAGTGTCCTCCAATGGGGTACCGCACTCTTGTAAACTTTTTTTATTGTTGATTTTTCGAGGAAAATTGATAAAAAGTTTTGCTTGCCTTGAGAAGCCTTGAGCAGTAAGCAAATATGTAGTAAAATATACAGGGCTTCCAAAAAAATTCAAAATGTGAAATTATCCCTAAGCCTTTAATTTTTGGTTTTGTTAAAAACAGTATTTAACGAATTTATCTCGTGAAATGTTATGGAATCGGTAATGTTTCATATAATCGATATGCTATATAAATTTTTAATGAAATGTATCCAAATGTAACTGTAACTCGTAGAGCAGTTGGCAAGCTAATTATAAAATTTGGTACCACTGATGATGTAAAGAATATTAAAAAGATAAAAAAATAATACAACGATAACGATACTGCTACTGTTGTAGTAATGGATTCTGACAAGACAATCCAAAGATATCACTCAGGAAAAAGTCAGAAAACACAGATATTAGCAGATCTCATGTTCAAAGAATTTTAATATACATACAACAAAATCTATCCATTCAAACCAGTGTTTAATCATAAATTGCTTGATGGAGATCATGATCGTCATTTGGACTTTTGTTTAACAATAATAGGCGAGAAACACAATATTTTATTTACTCACAACTAATGACGTGGTTTCCTCACAAAATTGTAGATACTGGGCTAATGATAATCCAAATTTTCGATTGAAAACTTATAATAGTAAAAAAGTAAATGTCTGGTGTGGCATAATGTATCATAAAATAATTGGTCCTTACTTTTTTGAAGAAAATATTGATCAAAATTCGTATTTGGAAATTCTCAATGATTTCATTGTGCCAGAACTAGATTAGCGAAAATTTAGAGTTCGGAAAAAAATGCTCTGCACCTTCCATACTTATAGTAAGAAACTGGCTTAACGTTCACTTCCCGAACAAGTGGATAGGACGCTATGGACCAATACCTTGGCCTACACAGGCACCAGACTTGTATCCATTAGATTATTTTTTATGAGGATACCTAAAGCAAAAGTGCAATCAAATGATTTTGACGATAACATTCATTGAAATTGTCAAATATAAAACATTTTTTTTTAAATAACTGGAAAATCGCTTCTTCAAATTTATCCGAATTTGATACACATTTTTCACTATCATAGCAAACATGTCGAGCTCAACTTTCAAGTAACACGAACAACAAGTAAAGTTATATGAAAAACAAATAAATTAAATCAATTGTTCGAAATGCCCATATCCAAACTCAATGCACTTTTGGCATCTTTTGGTTATAGAATTCACAGCAGCTCTGATTAAAACTGGATTTTGCTTAAAATCAGTGCAGGCCTCATTTAGCCTTTGCACTAGCTGGTCTCTATTTGCTATAGGAACAGCATAAACGTCATTTTTCTAGGTTACCCCCAAATAAAATAATCTAAAATATTTAGATCAGGTGATCTAGGTGGTCAAGGTATGGGGCCATTCCGTCGAATCCATCTGTTTTGGTACTTGGTTGTCAGCCATTCACGAACTACCTGGCCAGAATGTGCTTGCGCCCCATCCATTTGAAACCAGGCCCCGATTCGTTGATCCGAAGGTATGTCCTCCATTAACTGGAAGAGGCTGTTGTCCAAAAAATTTAAAATCAGATCGGAATTTAGTCTAGGTGGCAAGATATTTACTTAGATAATATGTACTCGTAAACCATTCATATTTCGACAAAAATAAAAGAATGTTTTTTCATCCGGAATGTTTCAGACCGTTATAAAATGTATTCATATTACAAATTAATTCAGTGGTGTAGTTTTACTTTAAACAGGGAAACGATATGCTTGTTTCTCCGCCACTGGTTTTTGAATTTGGACTGTATGCATACAAAACTAGATTTATTTGAAAAAAAAAAATGTGTAGGTACCAAAGGGTAAATTTGATGAAATGGTTTCCACATATTTAAAAAAATTGTTATATTTTTGTTAATTTCAACGCCCTGTATGTCATAAACGGTGGCTTTCTGCACCTATGTTCATAGAACAAAGTGATGTTAATTTTTGCTGTTTAGTACCTTCCCGAAGTTTGTCTATTAAAATCTGGACCACCCTGTATGTGCATAATAAAAGTAGTATTAAAAAAATTGTCAATATGAGGAAATCATGACTATTATTAATCTACGCATATTTCTATATGACAAACAAACAAATAAAAATACACATTCACACCCGTCAACTATGACTAAAATTACTCAGAAATTAACCACAACACTCTTCCCAAATCAGTCTTACTCTTGATAATTCTATTGTTAATATTTATTTTTGCTAATTGGCTCCGTAACCTTGAATTAATAACAAAATTAAATGCTCTATTGTAAATTTAACTGTCACTTTTGTAGATCGTGAAACTGTAAAATTTTTAAACTTTTACATCAACATTAACACAGCATCTTTTATATTAATTAAATTATGAATAAATTATATAACATGCAGAATACAATAACTTTGAGGTACACTTTATCTTCCAGCACGAAATACAGTTCACCTTTCAGAACTAGCCGACTTTAGAGCTCGTTTAGCCAGTCACGGAATTAAAACGCGAACCGCGAGCCCCAGAAATAGTAAATGGGTTCTTAATAATATTATTTTGAGACGTAACTGCATTTTACCCTCAGTTAATCGCTTTTTATGATTTAATAATATCCATCATTTGCTTTTATTTTCATTAAAGAAACGCAGATCGCTTTTAAATGTACAACTGATGAATTAAAATTTCAAAAACACTCACTCGGTTACATGAAATAAATGTGAAGCCGGTCGAGTAAATAAAAATATAATTATTTACCCATTATCGATTCGTCTCGAACTTCTGAAGTTCCCTCTCAACAACCTCTTACTATAAGCTTTGAAAAGACGAAACGACGATTCGTACACATTGGGAAAATATTCTTTTCAGACCGGAATAAATTGGATCCAGAATGTATTTTCGTGTAATTCTTTTGGCGAGAGTGTACAAATTTAAAACGTCTAGAAATTTTGTTTGTGTGTGTCTTTTTAAAAGCCGACTTTGCCGAATTTTTAAATCAAATTATTATAAGTAGGTATAATCTTTAGCTTTAGCAGAACCCTGAGTTTTAACGAGACCCACAAACATTTATAAAATCAGGATAAACATCAACATTATCATTAAATCAATAAAATTCAAGTAGAGAACAATAAACTTTATGTAAAAACTAAATCTCATGTTACAAATATAATCCCCATTTTAATAGTGACGTTTATTTATATATGTATTTGGAAGTACAATGTCCCAATTACAGGATAAAAAGCAATATGGTTCAAAACAATCCATCTGTCTAGTTGTTACGATGTCAATTGGAACCGCATAAAAACATTTAACTCAAATTCTACGGCATCGATAGACGTCCAGAAAAATTTAGCCCTGTCTCGTCTAGATATACTATATTCCGAGCTATATGACCATATAATTACCATACGATTGTCAAGTTTTTTATGTTTAAAATCGCATTGTAATAAAGCATGTCGTAAAATATCTAACGATTTATAATTATAATCAGGATAATCGCTTAATTTATCTCGAATCATATTTAAAGTAGGAACTTTATTTTCTTTATACATATTATAAATTGTGCGCCGCATTACATCTGGTAAAATGGTAAATTTTCTTTAATTTTGTATTTTTCCGTTTCCTCTTTGTACCGTAATCAATCCTTTAATTAAGCTATAAATTGGCCTTTTTTGGATATCTTAGTTAATTCTTTAATCCGTGTCCTAAATTTTTTATCAAATTGTTCACTATTTTCAATTTTCAAACATTCATATATATTTAATATAGTACGTTGACTTTTTACGTGTAAATCTTTGTTTTTAAACTCGTTTGAGTTTGTTTCGATACTTTCGACAAAAACCGGTTCCACTATTTGGGGATTTTCCCGAGTTATTTCGTTATCCTCCGCTTCAGTCTCCAGAGAGTCATGCTAAATTACTAGATCATTACATATAACACTTATTTTAATAACTATTACTGGTTACGATACGAACAAATAATAATTTCAACTAATATATAATAATACGTATTATACCAACAACATACCCCGCCAAGCAATGCTCTGCACGGCACTGGCAAAGCGGCAAAGCTAAGTGAACCCGTGTACCATACAAAAAAATTATTTACGACCTAGTGGACCAATACAGGTTTGCTTTGATGACCAGCGCACCGCCGTCAATTCAACATCAGGGGGACTAGTTTACCAATACTGGACTCGCCGAATTCGAGTATAAATTACGAAACACATAATGGTCAAAGCATAAGAAGAAATTTCGGAAGTGCATACGGTCCTGTGCTTTAAGATTTATAGGTTCCAATTAACATCGTAACAACTTATAACAAGTATTGCTAAAATTAAAACAAGAAAGCAGTGACAGATGTACCACGAGGGTAGTAATCCAGCTATTCAGNTTTTGTTCTACACGTTTTACTTTTAAAGATTTCAGTACCTAAAAACGCCAGAAATTTCACTATTTCTCGGCCGGGAATATGGCCACCTTAACTCAAATTCTACGGCATCGATAGACGTCCAGAAAAATTTAGCCCTGTCTGTCTAGATATACTATATTCCGAGCTATATGACCATACAATTACCATACGATTGTCAAGTTTTTTTATGTTTAAAATCGCATTGTAATAAAACATGTAAAATATCCAAAGATTTATAATAATTATAATCAGTATAATCGCTTAATTTATCTCGAATCATGTTTAAAGTAGGAACTTTATTTTCTTTATGCATATTATAAATTGTGCGCCGCATTACATCCGGTAAATTCGTCAATTTTCTTTAATTTTGTATTTTTCCGTTTTCTTTTTGTACCGTGATCAATCCTTCTTTAATTACGCTATAAATTGGCCTTTTTTTGAATATCTTAGTTAATTCTTTAATCCGTTTCCTAACTTTTTTATCAAATTGTTCACTATTTTCAATTTTCAAACATTCATATATATTTAATATAATACGTTGACTTTTTGCGTGTAAATCTTTGTTTTTAAACTCTGAGTTTGTTTCGATACTTTCGACAAAAACCGGTTCCACTATTTGAGGATTTTTCCGAGTTATTTCGTTATCCTCCGCTTCAAAGAGTCTCCAGAGAGCCACGCTAAATTACTAAATAATTACATATAATATTTATTTTATTAACTATTATCCTTTACTGGTTACGATACGAACAAATAATAATAACTAATAAATAATAATACGTATTATACCAACAACATACCCCGCCAAGCAATGCTCTGCACGGCACTGGCAAAGCGGCAAAGCTAAGTGAACCCGTGTACCATACAAACAAATTATTTACGACCTAGTGGACCAATACAGGTTTGCTTTGATGACCAGCGCACCGCCGTCAATTCAACATCAGGCGAACTAATTTACCAATACCGGACTCGCCGAATTGCTATTCGAGTATAAATTACGAGACACATAATGGTCAAAGCATAAGAAGAAATTTCAGGAGAAGTGCATACGGTCCTGTGCTTTAAGATTTACAGGTTCCAATTAACATCGTAACAACTTATAACAAGTATTGTTAAAATTAGAACAAGAAAGCAGCGACAGATGTACCACGAGGATTACTACAACTATTCAGTTTGTCACAATAATTTTGTAATCTGGTACAATCAATAGAAGATTTAACTTCCAAAAGCAACTTAAGGTGGTCCTCACAAAGTAAACAACTGATATCAAAGCATTCAGTTGGATCATTAATAAAAATAGTAAACTAGAGTGGACTCAGAATTGACCCTTTGGGATCCCCTGAAGATTGATGAATTTTATATGATTAGAAGCCACGATATTGTATAAATTGGTATCTGTTACTGAAATAAAACTTAAACAAAGATAACAGTGGGGGATATAACAAATAATTCCAATTTCAATGGTAATAAATTGTGATCAAGCTGGCCAATTGCTGTAGAAATATGTTTCAATTATTTTAAATGATGTATGCTCGTTAGTCAGCTCAATTTTGTCCTGTCTGCGCATGACGACAGCAGGGAACTGCAGAATTTCGTGTTCACTCAATATATAATAAACAGACAATTTATGTTAATTGTAATAAGTAAAGCCTGTAATTTTCACATTTACGTATCGTAGTTTATGTGTGTAGAATCTAAATGTACCTTAAGTATTTTGTTAAGTTTGAAGTTTGAAGAAATGTTGCATGTTTTGCAGGCCACAATAGCTCTGGATTATATGAAAAAAACCGGCAAAACGTTGCATTTTCATGCCAATATATGCCATGACTTCGTCAGTCTTTCTCTCAAATGACGTCACCATATGCGAGTGGTACGCCATATTATCTTCAAACCATGATTTTAATTAACAAAAATGTCTCCAACAGTTAGCACGTCTTAACGATTTTATTTTTACGAGTACTCCTTTAATTTTCTTTACGTAAGAACATCCCGTATGGATGATACACTACTCAGACCATCGCATCGAGTGATTAATCGAGATGTCACCAGCAAGGCGATTGTTTTCGAAGGATTCGCAAGATATTTTATAATAATTAGAATTCCACAGCGGGGGTAAAGGGATGCCGGTGGAATAATATACACATGAAGAGAGAACTGGACTAATTGGAAATACGCTTTGATGTTTTTATTAGCTTTCCGTCATGGAGATTTCTTTGACTAGATTAAATTGCATCCAGCATTTATTAATAAAAAAAAAACGTTGCCGACGCGATGCACAATCGATTTTCGAAGATGCTGCTGCATTTTATTCTTTTTGTGCGATGGACTGTGTGGACTTCTGTATTTGATCTCCGCAACACGGGCAAAATACAAGTATGTATGTACGCGTCCTTTGATTTTATTTTCTTACGTCCCAGTAAATTTCAATCTTGATTTTATTCGTTTTTGTTCTCTTAGCAACAAAGAGAGTATTTCAAACTATATATCGTTATTGAACGTATATTTTCAGTACGTATATAGTTCCATTTGATTAAATTAGGTATTTGCAAGAGATTGTTCCAGCAAATATTGTTTATGCATGACGGTACTCCAGCCCACTTGTTTGTTTGCTGCATGAGTAGTATTTGGATATTGCACGTCCAAATTGTTGGATATGTAGAGGAAGGAGCACTACCTTAGACTCTACGATCTCCAGACTTGAATCCTCTTCAATTATTTTCCAATCAAAGAAGTTTTATATCTATTAACTTTATTTCAATTTAAAAATCTAGGAGGTACTGAATGCTTAAAAATTAATAATTTGCCAATTACTGACTGCTGAATATGATTGGTAAATAATAGGGCCTGCTTGTAAGCTATTTTTGCAATTTTAAGCAGGACCTAAAATATTCGTAGGCAAATTCTATTATTTACCAATTAAGAGAGCAAATAATTAGCAAATTTTTCATCTTCAAGCATTACCAATACAATATTTTTAAACGGAAAACTGAAACATTATAATTTGGGGCTCCAATATCTTAAAAACTAACAACTTTAGGTGTAGAACATACTTAATAAAAGTTGAAGTGGACCGATATGTGAATAAAATAGAATAAAATACACGGTTTCACTTGAAAAATTTTAGAAAATCAAGTTTGAACTTCCTTAAAATGATCGTATTATAAAAAAATGCCCTGTATAAAATATCGATATTAGCTATTATAGGAGTCTGCCTAACATTTGCCAAAAACTCTATCAAATATTTTTGCTCCAAGTGTTAGTAGTTGAAAGTACTTAATACAACTTCTTCGAGGTCACGTTTTTTTTCAAAATTCGAAGAATTTTCTACATAACTGGGCAACCCCGCACTAAAATGTTAAACTGTTTATAATGCCATATATAGAATTTTCTCAGAAATCCCTATGTTTAAAAATATACAGGGTGCTCCATTTAAAAAATGTAATATTTGGCGTGTCCCGTTTTTACTCATCGCCCTATGTGTTTCAAATTAATTTTGTCCTTTAGGCTTTTTGATTCTGTACAAGTTTTATATAAATTTTTTTTTGTATTATGGATAACAAGGGGGTTATTTTACTTTCTCACACTAATGGCCCACCCTGTGTGTAGTATTATACTGTGATATGATTATTGCAGCCAAAAGTATTCTAAAAATGTATTGAAATTATTGAAATGCTTGAAATTTTAAAATGAAAAATGATATTAAAAATGTTATAATTTATCAAAATGCATAAGATTGTTATATGCGTTGTGATGCAATGTTTCATTGTGTATATATGCTGCTATATTTTTTATTGTTGCATTGAAAGTTTATTGTTCTTTATAAATAAAAAAAAATAAAAAAACATACTTCATTTGAACTTTCCAATTTTATTTTATTATTCCAAATTGAATTACACAAATAGACACAAGTTGAATATATTCCATTCTAATGACTAACTTGTGTATCGAAAAGTTTATTTAAATTTCCCGCCACCTATCCTCATTCATACCATATTGCGTTGTTGCCGTTACTCTTTCGTGTTTATTACTTTTCATGAACTTTTTGTTTGATAATTTATTTCTCTGTGAAATGTGCGTAATCTACGTTTTTCTTTCTCTCATCTATTAAGTAATGATTTAGGTAAAAGTATATTTTTATAAATTCAAAATTCAAATACACTTTTTCGTCTGTGTTCGATTGTAAGGGTATGAGTTAAAGCATCATTTCCCATAAGAACCCCCTGTTAAATATTCAAATTTTTGGCTTTAATTAAAAACAAATACAAATCGACAAATAATTTGAGAATAATTCACAGAATTTGATTTCGCACTGCACAAAAATATATGCCAATAATAGGAAATTGTCTGTATTTTTTCGAAGCACTCGATTCTCCTTAACTAAATATGAACAAACATATTTGCTGACCACAAATCTACAAAAATTACACTATACCATGCCCAAAAAAGTTCACCCCGTACATTATAACCTTCCGAACACAAATACGGGCGGATAAAGAGAGAGGATTCATCAGGCAATTTCTAATACATATTCGGTTAATTACTGAGCAGCGTTTTCTCGAATAGAACCGTAAGCAAGACAGGTTAAAATCCAACTAATAACAAAAGTTTTGTAGTTGTTATCTTAATTATTACCGGCGAGTTACCATCCACATCTAAACTAAATTGCCACCCATTGTTTCAGTGTCGACTGTTTCCAAAGTTATTTACAAGTTTGCTGTGTTCTGCCCGATCCACACAACGCGACGCCCCACAAGGCCGAAGGGGATGCTGGCAGGGACAATATTGTGGAGGAGTACAACCCCCACGAGGAAATCAAAGTCATATACGCTTAAGTTAACGATAAGTTATGGTTTTTTAATGCAATATAGTTAAGGTAGAATAAAAGATTTAAATTTATATATTTTTTGGACGTATGAAGACATGGGCGCCGTTCAGGAGAGGCAAGGAGGTAGTTGCATTCACCCCTTAGAAGTTCCTTAATAGTTTTCTTAAAGCAAAACAGTAAATACAGTCATTCCGCTTAGCAAGTCGTAGGTACTTATTTTCCAAGTACATTAAAAATGAGTCAAAAGTAATATTTTTTTTTGTATAAATTGTTTAATATTCACGTGAGCTCGTTTTTAGCTTTACAATCTAGGAAAACAATATTATTTTAAGCTTAAATAAAATGTTATAATGCTAAAACATGTTTTATTCTGAGGTCCGTCAGTAAATCGTACATTCCAGGTCCGTACTTTGTTTTCACATTATATTAAAATAAATATATTTGTAGAAAGTTAATTTTGTACACATAGCAACGACTTGTAAGTAAAGAAACTGAACATTTTTAATCGATAATTAAAAATTCAAAATTAAAATGCACCATTTGAACTAGAGACGAGTCAAAACAATGATAATTGCTACTAATGGATAAATGTAACAATTTATACAAACTCCGGCCGTATTAAGGGTGTCCATTTCAGAAGATGGTTTAATACAGATAGAAACAACAGGTAAGTGACCCAAATAACAGGTGACTGCGTTCAACTTTCGGTTTACGCATGCTAAGGTGACTGTAAAACTCAGGAAAAGCCAAAATCTCGACCTACCTAACGTTTTCCTCTCGTTCTCCACGTCGGAGAAGTCCAGGGTGCTCTCCGAGAGGGTGAAGCTGGTGCCGGTGGGCTTCCGGGGAGGAGCGCACTTGGTAGTGTCCACCTCCACGTCCTTCAGCTCCTCCTCGCACTTGGCCAGTCTGCCCCAGGTCCATTCCGCCTCGGCTATTATCCAGGTTATGAGGTCCTCCACCCGTATCACTACTTTTTCTGAGATGGCCAACACCTCATCCTGAAAAAGGACAAAAAAAAAACAAAAATTAATGACGGAAATAAAAAGTCGAAAATAGTTATTTTTATTTAATCCTACTTTGCCGACATTGTAAAAAACTATGTGAAAACCTTTTTTTTCAAAATCGAATATTTTCAAAATAAAAAAACTATAGGTTAGGTATTACAAAAATCAGCCAAAACTGGAAAACGTTCTCTTAAACTTAGAGAAATATCGCTATTGAACCTTGAAAGAAAACCGTTTTCCTATCTCTTCGGAAAATAAGAGAAACTAAGAATGCCAAAGAATGAGGGCCCTAAAGCCGGTTTTTGGCCTAATTTATTTTTGGCTGACAAAATCGGAAAATATTTTTTTAGTACCTACTAGCAATACTGAGTCGTTTCGACCCTAAACGGACCAACCCCCTCACCCTTCTTCCCCCCCCCCCCTTTAAATGTCGGGGAAACCATCGCTTATTAGAGGAATATTTAAAGAGCTTAGAGATGCGAAAGACATTCAATTCCTATGAATCTTACATATGAAGAGCTTTTTGGGTCGCTGACCACGAATCTGGTCTTAGAATCACGAAATTCAAAATGGCGGATCCAATATGGCGAACAAGAAAATTGAAATGTCTTCAAAATGCATGAATTTTTTTGTAATGGAGTTTTTTGGGTTTATGATTACGAATCTGGACTCTAAATCACGAAATTCAAAATGGCGGATTCAATATGGCGGACAAAAGAATTAAAATGTCTTTAAAATGCATGAATTTTTGTATAGTGGGGTTTTTTGGGTCTCTGATTACGAATCTGAAGGCAGAATTACGAAATTCAAAATGACGTATTCCATATGGCGGGCAAAAAATTAAAAAGATCTTCATAATCCTCAAATATTTGTTTATAGAAACTTTCTTGGATCAAATATGCACAAACATGTATGTATAATTATAGATTTTTTTTCGTTTTATTCAATGTAAATGTGTGTCATCTCATTTAAGGGGGGGGGAAGGATGGTGAGGGGTTGGTCCGTTTAGGGTGGAAACGATATTCAGTATTGCTAGTAGGTACTAAAAAAAATTTTTCAGATTTTTTTTAGCCAAAAACCGGCTTTATGGGCCCTCCTCCTTTGCCAACCGTACATTTAAAATTCACCCTGTACAACCAAAAATTTTTTTTTAACGTACATTTAAGAAGAAGATGCATATCGATCACCAATAACAAATTATGTTAATGTTTTAATAAATATTTAAAAAAATACCCCCTTTATTTTTATCCAACCGGGCTCTTCTGATCAATTTAATTGCCTAAGAAAAATCCCCATGCCCGATATTCCATTATGGACTCCTCGCGTCTGTCATATTCGTAAAACTTCCCGGCAAAATCGCTGTGTCTGTATGAAAAAGTTGCTCCCGCAGCAATTTTTTTCGCAAATCGAGTGAAACTCTCATTTAGAGGTTTATCTCGTATGCCAAGATGGTTCCCAGAAGTCTAATCCGTTTATAACTTACAGACACAAACTTTGATATAATCCTATTAGCCTTTTTTTTAAAGGCACCGAGGTATATCCATCTACATAATTTAGTTGAGAACACATATTCGTGCCGGATAATTACATTATGCGAGTATATGAGATATTAACGTGTTATGTGTTAATAGACAGCATATAAAATTAATTAGTTACAAGCAGCTAGTCGTTATTGCATTCCGTTTTGAAATACTACTTTGACTGTCGGGGTAGAATTGATGATGGACTGATATTGATCTATTTATGTGGAAAATCAACACCAGTTGTTAGTCCGGGCGCAAGGCAGTTTGATTGCTTTCTTTGATATATATAATCTTCATAACAGTCTATGATAAAACTGTCTTAAAATTGGAAGAGTTTTAGATATATCCCATAAGGTTTAATTGTCATTTAATTTCATTTGTTTCCGAGAAATACGTTTTAAAATTTTTTGAAGCACTCGAAAATGCTTAATAAAACACAACAGTCGTCAACCGATAAAATGAAAACTAAAATAAATTTAATAAAATTAAGCTGTAATAAATAATGATCAAGCACGTGCTGATGCGAAACTATTGGTCCAAATGCTTTCATATAGAACTGGATTTCACATAGTATAATGGTTTTCATTTCGTGCGTATCATTTGCAGCTTAATTTTGTTGCTGTGGATTAAAACAAGATGTCTAGGACGGATTCAGTTAATGAAGTGGTTAATGAGTCACGTAAAAACTATAACTTTGAAATAAAAATTTCAATGTTCGGCACTTCAATCGCATTTACATCGGAAAAATATACAGCGTGGTTCATAACTTATCCAAAATGCGTCATGAAAAATGGAGTCAATATCGTAAAAATTTTTTTTAAATCCATATAGTTTCAGAGAAAATAATTGTAGTATATTCAACCCTTACATCACTGGACTATTGTAGTCTCTAGCGTCATTCGTGTTGTGCGCTGTGCGCAATGCACGTGGCTCCAGGCTCTTCCGAATACGAATACTGAAATCTGATTGTAGTGATTGTACTATTAACGTTTTTGCGATAGTGTTTACATTAGTTTTTTAAATGGGTTACGTGTATAGCAACTCGGAGTTGATGGATATCGTTTTAATTTATGGTGAAGCAAGACAACATTTGTGTTAGGTCATAGAAACTGGGTAAGACGGGCCCAAATGTGTTTACACATCGGTGGACAAAATTCTGAACAGTTGTAACATCAGCTATGTCAAATATTTTATTAATTAAAACCACAAATTAATTCTATTAATTAATAATAACAGTAGCAGCAAAAGCAGTTGAATTTGCTGATATAAAACAGGTATTATATTTGATTTATTTCATTCCTTGGGAAATTCTTTAAATTTTTTTCCGTTCATTTTTTATTACACTTTGCCGCCGTACCAGTCGCCGTCTGCATTACAGCGGACCAATTTCCAATGCCGTGCAGAAGTGTATTTTTAAATCATTTTCAAACTGCCTTTTTTGATTCTTTTACAAAATTGTATTTGTAAGAGTCTCCTGTACATTCAAAATTTCTTTTTGGATAAGTCCTGAATCACCCTGTATAGCAAACGCCAAGGTAATCAAGTTTTGAAACCTATATTTTTTTCGCTTTTTTCCTGGACTATATCAAACAATTTGTCCTATACGCAATACAGAAATGTTAACAAACGTGATTCGTTTATCCGGTAGTGTTTACTTGACAAAGAAATCAGGTTATTAAATTTCTGTTTGAAAGAAACAATTTTCCTTTTCTTCGTGGCAACCTCTATAACATTTTCAAGATATTGACCGGAATTGTGTAGCTAGAAGGTCCATTAATCAAAATATATCTTTTAAATTACGTTACAGACGACAGTTCAAGTATAGGATGGCCTCATTGTAATTTAAACACAACCTTTGGCATTTGATTTTGTGGACTAGAAAATTTGTGCTGCTTCTGTTGCGTAGGAGGTGTCTTCCTTCTCCATAGGTATTTATTCAAAATTAGAAAAAGACAAGGGACAGAATGATGAATGATATTTCAGGAAAATAAAATAAATATATTGAAATGAAATCAGATATGAGAGAACAAATCAAAATGTAAATCAAATGTCTATTTAAAAGACAAAGCAGTAAATATAATGGTTTGAAATGGTTATTATAAAATTAAGAAAATATTTGATAAAAAAATTTTACTGTTAGTATTGAATTAGTAGTAGGAATCATCGGTTTATTAGAATAGGATAAATTTCAAAATTCAAATAGAAAATTAATTATAAATTTGTTCAGATAAAGCATATGCCAAGAAATTGTTAATAAAAAAAATTAAATAAAAATAATTCAAATTCATAAGTCACCGATATCTAATAAAAGTTAAAATGTTATAGTGTTTATAAATAGTTATAATATATGGTATAATACTAATTAGGAAAAGATATTAAGGTTCAAAGAAAAAGGTGTGTATCAATAAATCAATATGTCAAAGAAATGTCAAAAATTAAAGTGGGATTCACATGGAATCAAGTAGTAAATAGAAAAGTAACATAAGAGTAGAGAATGAGAAATATTTTGAAGTAGAATGTAAATGAGATTGTTAAGAAACTATAATAGGGCATAAGTGTAAAGGTTAAGTGAAGTGAGGTGAGTGAAAAAGAAAAAAAAGCGGCAAGTAAAAAGAAAGCAGAATCAGATATGTGAAAAGACCTTAACAGGGGAAAAACCAAAATCAAGGTAGTGAGAAAAGAAAATAATATTGATTAGTTACAAAAAATTTGGGGAGAAACGTCAAATATTATAGAAAGATATTAAAAGAACCCGGAATACAAGTCGAAGCAGCAGAAAGAAAACGAACTATACGCATCAGCAGCAGAGAGAAAGCGGAAAGCCAACAGCCGAGAGAAAGAAATACAATCATAGGCGAGGTCCAGGAAACCAGATAAATAATAGGCCAGAGTAGCAGCATCACTGGCAGGTATAGCAGATAGTGTCAAAACAACTACTGAAACCGGAAAGGAAAGGAAATAAACAAATAATCCGTATATAAAAAAAAAGGTACCTTTTTAATTGTCGTATACAGTTTGTGCACAAATTAACAGTAAAATTCATTTGAAAATCTTGATAAATTCAAAATCAATCATTTGAAACAAATTTAAGTCAGTGATATATCAAGCATCATCAAAATTTTTGGCCAATTATTTAAATTTGTAGATAGTAAGATTAGATATAAGGAGGAACATATTAAAACAAGAAATTACACGAGAAAATATAAATTACGTCCAAAAAGCAACCAGTAATACAGTAATTTAACCAGATCGAAATAAATTCTTGTTTAAAGTGGTCAAAACATTGTAAGAACTTCAAAATATTTGATAATTTGTGTGACATTTCTAATTTGAAATATTGATATACCAGATAAATATTAATAAATTAATTTAAACATCTATTGTTTTAAGTTGTTAGTTTGCATGGTTTCTGGAAGAATAGTTTGAGTTGAACCGACTACTGAGCAGGGTCTAAAGCTAGCAGGGCAAAGG